TGGCCAGAGTGGCCACCAGGAAAACCTGGGGAGGGCTAGCCTCCCACTAGTTCGAATTAAGGGGCTACACACCCCTTAATTCGAACTAGCTAGTTCGAACTAGGCTTAATCCTCGTAAAATGAGGCTTTCCTAGTTCGAACTAAGCGCTCCGCTAGTTCGAATTAAGTTCGAACTAGCGGAGCGCTAGTGTAGCGCATATGAAAGTTAATTCGAACTAACGTCCGTTAGTTCGAATTAACTTTGCTAGTGTAGACATACCCTACGGGAACAGGGGCCGTGAGTTACTCGACCTGCACAGAGCCCTGGCCCTGTGGTATCAACTCTGCCAGCGCCCGTGATGAAGAGGATGTTAATCCCAACACAGCCCCAAGTGGCACTGCTGGAGTATGGTGCGGTGTCCCATAATACCTCCAGGGCACAATGTAAGTGCTGTGGAACGGTACCCTCCAGAGGAGCAGTTCCCAATAACAGGAGTTAGTCTTTAGCCCAAACAACAGATGGTTTTGGTAGCAGAGGGGCCTCGATGTTTTGTTATAAACTGTCTCTGCCGTATCTGGATGCTACTATATGTCCTTCGCACGCGTGTCAAAGGAGTCCAGCCCACTCTAGGCTGGTTGTGGTGACTTGCTATGATGATTTCTACAAAAGACCATCAGACCCAGGGCTGGCAACAGATTTTGCCTGGCTCTGGGCATGGGGGAGCTTGGTTCCAGGCCCCACTGGAAGGAGGCGGGCCTTAGGCAGAAGGGGCAGGGCTAAGGGCCCTTGCCTGGACTGCACCTCGCCTCCCTCAGACCCCCTCAGTGCCACCTTGGACTCCGGCGATGTCCTACCCAAGCCTGCCTATTCCCTGATCTGCACTACTAATGTTGCCAGGAGAAAAACTCCAGAGGCTGCACAACTACCTCTTTGCAGCTCCCCATTGCGCAGCGGTTGTACTGGAAGCTGTTGCATTGTCTTACCTACACTTGTAGCAATGTAGGGCTGAGAGGGTGTCACACAAGTAACAGGGGTTGGATTTACCACCGTGGTGCCTCCTGCTGCCCACTCTGGGAAGTAGCTCATTTCAGTCGGTTGAGGACACCACTTCTGGGGAGTATTCACCTGTGGTCACTTGTCTCTACTGTCTGGATCTGGACCCACATCACCCCAAGATACCCTCTTCTGGGGATCGACAGTCCTCAGTTTGCCACTTGCTTTGGGTGCAAACTGCAGCCCCGATCTAGCCACTCACAGGTGGCACGCTACAGTCCGTGTGCTGGTGGGTTGGGGGACTCAGGTCCATTTGCTACTCTAGGTCCCAGCGTCAGGGGCCCTCTAGCCAGCAGCCACTCACTGTCCCTCCTCCAAAGCTCTCCTGTCAGTTTCCCTGGGCCTCTTCTCCACAGCCCCAGCACCCACTTGGCCCCTGTGTCACAGCCTCAGTCTAGCAGTTATCAAGCTGGATCTCCCTACGGCCTGCCCAGTACTGTTCTGTCCATGGAGGTGTCCCTTTACAGGCAGCCAGTTCTCCTTCCTTGGAGTCCAGGGAGAGACTGAATTCTTCTCTGTCCTGCAGCCCTTCTTATAGGGCCCAGCGTTGCCCTGAT